TGAAATGGATGAACATCAACCAATTCTTTTTGGTATAGTGAGTCTGTATATTCCTTCCATCTTCTTTTGATGTTTCCTGCATCATTTGTTATTTTGCCATAGAATCTTTCAATATTGCAACTTGAGGCTTAAATTTCCTCTTCAGTTCTTTCAGCTTGAGAAATGCTGAGTGTGTGCTTCCCTTTTGGCTTTCCAACTCCATGTCTTTGCACTTTCATTACAATTGACTTTGTCTTCTCAAGCTGCTCTTTGAAATCTTCTGTTTAACTCTTTTTATCTTATTTCTTCCCTTTGCTTTAGCTACTCTCCAATCAAGGGCAAGTTTCAGAATCTCTTCTGACATCCATTTTGGTGTTTTCCTCCTTTCCTGTCTTTTTAAAATTTTTTTATTTTAAGAGTTTGTTTTAAATCATGAGAGAAAAAAGGGCTGCTTATGCACAGAAAGACAGCACAGGGGGCAGGGGTGTGTGGAGGGATGGACTCATGGAAGAGGTAACTATTGGGAGGAAGTGGGAGGGGAGCTATTGCATTGTGGTAAATTGTACTCAATGTCATGAGACAAAATGTATGTGAACTGCTGTGTGGAAAGTGAATTTGCTCTGTAAATTTTCACCCAAATCACAATTTAAAAAAAAAGAGAGAGTTTGTTTTACATTCAACATTACGTGTACATTTAGTTTCACTCATCATTTACCATGCCCAACCCTAACCCAGTCTCCTCCTCTCCCTGCCCCGTACCCCTCCTCCTATGCCCCTCATAGTTATGCACTCCTGTTTGTCCTGCATTTCCTCCGTGTGAATGTTGCCCCTCTGGTGCCCTGTGGTGATTGCTCCAAGGGATGCATTTCCATAGAGTATGTACATCTTGAGAGTGAGCTTTATTCCAGGCCCAGAATGTATCCCAGGACCATAGTATTTAGGGGTCTCACCAGACTCCATCCAACCAGTAATTCTGGTCATCATTGAGTTTTTGGATTTTGTTCTACATTTTTCTTTCCACTCTATCCAGGATCTCCAAATTTGATCTTTTCCTGAGTGATTGGCATCCTTTCCTGTCTTTTTTTAATGACCTTTTGTTTGCTTCATGGATGCTGTTCTTGATGTCATCCCACAATTCCTCTGGTTTTGGGTCATTGGTGTTCAATGCGTCAAATCTATCCTTTAAATGGTCTCTAAATTCAGGAGGGATATAATCAAGGTCATATTTTGGCTCTCATGGACTTGTTTTAATTGTCTTCAACTTCAGCTTGAACTTGCAAATGAGCAGTTGATGGTCTGTTCCATGATCAGCTCCTGGCCTTGTTTTGGCTGAAGATATTGAGCTTCTCCATCACCTCTTGCCACAGAGGTAGTCAATCTGATTCTTGTGTACTCCATCTGGCAAAGTGCATGTGTTTAGCCACTGTTTGTGTTGTTAAAAAAAGGTATTTGCAGTGAATAAGTCACTGATTTTGCAAAATTCTGTCATGAGATCTCCAGCTTTATTTCTATCCCCAAGGTCAAATTTTCCAGCTACCGGTGATTCTTCTTTGTTTCCAACTTTTGCATTCCAGTCACCAGTGACAATCACCACATCGTGATTGCATGCTTGGTCAATTTCAGACTGCAGAAGTTGGTAAAAATCTTCACTTTCCTCATCTTTGGCTTTGGTGGTTGGTACAAGATTTGAATAATAGTTGTATTAACTGGCTTTCCTTGTAGGTGTATGGATATTATTCTATCACTGACAGCATTGTACTTCAGGATAGATTTTGGGACATTCTTTGTGATGATGAACGTCATGCCATTCCTCTTCAATATGTCATTCCTGGCATAGTAGATCATATGGTTATCTGATTCAAAATGGCCAAAACAGATCCATTTCAGCTCACTAATGCCTAGGATATCAATTTTATGCCTTCCATTTCATTTCTGTAACTTCCAATTTTCCTAGGTTCATACTTTGTACATTCCATGTTCTGATTATCAATGGGTGTTTGTAGCTGTTTCTTCTCATCTTGAGTCGTGCCACGTCAGCAAATGGAGGCCCCAAAAGTTCTGCTTTATCCATATCATTAAGGTAGGCTGTACTCTGATGAGGCAGCTCTTTCTCAGTCATATTTTGAGTGCTTTCTGACCTATGGGGATCATCTTCTGGCACTGTATCAGACAATGTTTCAGGGCAATTCATAAAATTTTCCAGTAATATATCAGACAGTGTTTCACTACTATTCATAAGGTTTTCACTGGCCAATTCTTTGAGCAGTGGATGGCCTCTTCTTTCCTCTGAGTCTGTCTCAGTCTGGAAGCTCCACAGAAACTGGTCTACCATTGGCATCCCTGCTGGCACAGCAACATGCAAGCCACCACAGTAGGACAAACCAACAGATAAGTTCGTCTTCCTTAGCTGTTCCAATCACTCTGCTCACTTTCTGGGCCTCCCCCTACCTGTTCCTGTTGGCCCTGCTGCTGCTGCTCCCCCCGACAACCACTCTAACCTACAGAAAAACTAGGGGGTACGGGAGGAGTGGAGAGGAATGAGTAGGGAAGTCTATATTGTTTTTTGCTTATTTGTTTTTCCCTACCCTATCTCCAGTTCCTAGGAGCTCTGGTAGTATAGTGCCTAAGGCATTTGACTACTAGCCAGAAGGCTGATTCGGAAGGAAGGTTGGGCAATCTACTTCCGTAGTGATACTGCCTCGGAAACCCAAGGAGGGGTCGCTATGAGTCGGGTCGACTCGACGGCAAACAACAACAACAACATCTCCAGTTCATTTATTTCTATAAGAAAGTGGATTCTATGTTCCAAGATTCCCAGTGGTGGGAGGATATCAGTTTAATCCACAAAAGCTCATTTCACCTGTATGTAGAGAAAATGTTGGAGACTCGTACAAACATAAAATTAATTTAAGGACAGAACACAAATTCAGTAGATGTTAAAGGGCCTCTGAAGGTTGGCTGGGATTCTGGCTAGTGTATCTAAAATTTGCATACGAGGGGAACTGCTGTTCTCTGAAGAATAAGAATAAAACAATGAGGGATCCAGAACCTACCCCTACCTTCCCAGGGTAGTACTGAGAGGAGGCCAGCTAATGACAGGTGTGAGGGATCAGAGGCTTGGAGGATTAAGGAGGTGTGGTGCCAAAATAATTACTGAGTGAATGATACTACCTATAGGATTTGCTTCAAATGAATGGGGAGCCTCCTCCCAATACATGGGCTGGTGTCCATTGCACCCATCTCTGTTTCTGTGTGGAGAGGGAAATTTCCATAATAAAAAGCTTATTAGGGAGAATGTAAAGAGCTCTAGTGACACAAAGGAGCTCTGGTGGCTCAGTGCCTCAGGCATTTGACTGCTAACCAGAAGGTTGGTGGTTCAAACCCACCGGCCCCTCTGTGGAAGGAAGATAGGGCAATCTTCATCCATAAAGATTTACCACCTTGGAAACCCCATGGGGATCACTATGAATTGGAATCAACTAGATAGCAGTGAGTTTTCATTTATTTTTTTGCTTGTTTGTTTGTTTTTGAGAGAGAAAATGTGGAAGCAAAGGAATGAGGGGCTGTTTCAAGCAGATGAACTTGCCCTTTGTGAAGAGGAGGAGGAAGCAGAGAGAAAGGCTGCTTCTGAATCTTCCTCCTGAAACAGAAAAGGGGACACAGGGCACACAGGAGGATGACACAGCGCTCAGAGCTAAAATGGGCAACTGGATGAATGAGACCTAAGTCACATTTGCTGTTCTGCCACAAGCAGGGTAAAACCCGTTGCCATGGAGTGGTTTCCGACTCATTGCATCCCTGTAAGACAGAACAGAACTGCCCCTAGGGCTTTCAAGGCTGTAATCTTTACGAAAGCACACTGCCACATCTTTTTCCCGTGAGGGGGATTCGAACTGCCAACGTTTTGGTTAGCAGCCTAGCGCTTTAATCACTCTGTACTCAAGCCTCCTTCACAAGTAGGGAAACCAAAAACCCAACTCATTGCCTTCCCAGTCGATTCTGATTCACAGATCCCACTGGAGTTCCAAGGTATAAATCTTTACGGAAGCAGACTGACTTCATTTTTTCCTTTTGCAGAGCGGCTGGTGGTTTCGAACAACCGAGCTTGTAGTTGGCAGCCAAATGCCTTACCCAGGACACCACCAGAGCTCCTGCACAAGCTAAGCTTGTTCATGACGACAGAATAAATACGAAAACCTGTGTTAGGCACAGCCTGCTCATTTAACCTATGGCCCTTCCCCGACCATCTGGCACCCGGTGGTCAAGGAAGGACCCCCAGCCCTTAGCCGGCCCAGCAGCAGTGTACTAGGGGTGGCCAGAGGGCCGTATCGAGCTTCATTTCAACTTAACCAGCCTGTTCCTCCTTGCGGCTCTTCATCCGGAAAACTCAAAGCCACAGTGTGATTCCGGTCCTCGCGTCCTACTAACAGGCTCGCCCTGTACCGAAAGCTCAAATTGCACAATTTGGTAATTCTCCTAGCCAGCTCCCGAGGGCACTTGTAGTGACTCCGCACGAGGGAGAAAAATGAAACTTCGAAAATCAAAGGTGCTGTGGGCAGTCTCGGCGGAAAGCGCTGCGCATCCGCTGGAGGTCTCTGCCCTGCGCGCCCGCCGCACCGCAGTCCCAAGCAGATTGCTACCTCCCGCCGCGCTCCCGCCCCCGGCCGACGGCCGAGCAGTCCCGGCTCCTGGGCATTACCGCATTTTGCAACCCAGCTCGGGTTCGACCCTTAGACTCAGGAGCCTCCGGGCAAACGACTGCAAAGAGAACCCTAAACCGTGTTCACCGGCAACGGGTAAAAGGTAAAAGAGGACAGGTTGGCCCTCCGCCACTGAAAAGTCAAAGGAGCTAGAGTAGCAAGAAGTCTTGGGCTGCAAGGAGGACCTCTAAATGTGCCCCGAGTGAGGTGGCGTCGCTCAGGCTGGAGCACATACTCCTTCCACGTCGGTTCCAGAAACCGCGTAGTGCCGCGACCACCCCTGCCAGGTGCCCCGGGCCGCTCGCCACCCCCGCGGCTCACCTGCTAGGCGGCCGAATTCGCGCTCCCGCAGCTCGCGCAGGCTGCGCGGCCCGTAGCCGTAGGCGAGCCGCGCCTCGCTTGAATCCCGGAACCGCTCGAAGGCCAATAGCTCGGCTCCCGGCCGCACAGCGCCCGCCATGGCCGAGGCCCGCCTGCCGCGCGTCTGGGTCAGCGGGGCCGCGGATCGTGCGCGAAGCCTGCCCCGACGACTCCGCCCCAGTCGCGCCTCTTAGCCGCCAAGGCGACCCGGCCCCGGCCCGGGGGGCGGCGCCTCAAGGGCTGGCCCTACAGGCGCTACGCGCTGACTCAGGGCGTTTCACTTCCTTCCTGCCCTCTTCCCACCTGCCGGCCGGGACGGTGCCCGCTCTGGTTTTCTTGCTAAAGACTTTCCAACGGCGATGCCCTAGACGCCGGACAAAGTTCTCGTTTATCTAGTTGCCCCACAGAGAGGGATGCGGCAGAAGCAACGGATTGCGTCCTTCTTGCTCGGCCTCCTGGAACGCGGGGGTTCTCCCCGTCGGCACCGCACAGGAACCCTCACCCGCGGCGGGAGCGAGCGTGCGCGAGGCTGGCGGGGCCTGTGCCGTAGGTTCACCCGCCCAACTCCTCAGTAAGGCTGGCGCCCGCGTCTCTGAGAACTGGCTGCGCAAAGGGTAGAAGAGGGAAAGGTTAGAAAAGCACGACGTTGGTTAACACGTTCTCTGCGGCCGCGCACCGTGACGGGAGCGGAGTGGCTCTGTCTCGGCTGCCCTGCATCATGGGTGGAGGGGCGCGACGTGCGGGGCTGGCTGCTCAATGGAAGGGCAGGTGCACGAAGTTAGGGATAGGGTACGATCCCAGGTGCGGGGCGGGCCTGCTGCGAGGGTGGGGAGAAACATGTTAGGGCCCTAGGTGACCCGGCTCAGCTGCGGGCGGGGAGGACGATCCAAAGTGGGGACCTAGGCACGGGCTGCTGGCTCTCGGAGCCAACCGCGGTAGAAAGAGGTGGGAAGGACGCCCAGGCTCCCAGCTCATTGCTTGTCTGCGGCCCGGTCCCCGTCGCTCCCGATGTGGCCCGACGCCTTGGGATGTGTGATAAGCATGCAGATTCCTGAGCCTTTCATTCAGTAATTACAAAACCTTATCTGTGTGGTGACTCTTACAGATGGCGAAGCTCAGGCAGAGGGGTAGAGTAATTTGCTCAAAGGGACATGGCTAAAGTAGACAAAACAAGATTTAGCCCTGGGAAGTCAATCTCCAGAGTCCAATGAGTAAAGTGTGCTCTACTCCTCTCTGGTGCAAGCCACTGTGGCTCTCAGGGCCTCAGTTTCCTCATCTCAAAGTTGGGAGAGGGGTTGGGGGTGGGCCCTCCGTACAGTGTGGGCCCTCTACACCCCTTCTGGAGAGCCTATTAAAATGCAGATTATGACTCATTACATTTGGGAGGGGACTGAGAATCTGCAATTCTAAAAAGACCAGGTGCTGCTGATGTCCTGGTCCATGGACTGCACTCTGAGGATGGCCTGGGCCATTCCTGGGAATGTAAGGAGTATCTGTCCTCAAGGAGTACAGTGGTAGAGTAACAAATCACAAATCCAGAGGTGCTACTTTAGGATAAGCTTGCTCTAATGAACTGAACAAGTTAGTGCAGGATTCTTGAAGGTCACTAAAAATCACTGAGCTACCATTTAGTCAAGGAATATTTTTATGCTCCAGACACTGTGTGATCATGGAGAGTGTGAAGCTCTTGTCCCTACAACTGAGTAGGGAAATGAATCCTCATACAACTAGCCACAAGAAGAGGTGGGATGCGTGCCTGGTAGCTGGCCAGGCACAGGCTGCTGGATGCAAGCATAGAACTGCAGGAAGGGGCTACTTCTAACCAGTGTGCAGGGGGAAGGCACCCCAAAGGAGGAAGGCTTTGATCCATAAAGGACCAGTGAGGAAGGAGGGAGAGTAGAGGATGTGTAGGGACACTGGGAGCCTCAGCTTCTAACTGGCACCCTAAGGTGCACTTAACCACTGGGCCTTTCCTGCCAGAAAGAGGAATCAGGAACTGGACTGCTTGAATCTCACTCCTGCCTCAAGTAGAACCTCCAGCCCCCACCAATAAATGCCTTATATGTCTGTGCTGCCTCATGAGCTCTCAGTCCTGTCCTACAGGCCTGCCACTGTCTCCTCTAACCTGGCCCAGGTGCTGATACTGGAGCCTCAGGACCCGTTGGTCCATCCTGTGGTCCCAGGCTTCCCAAGTTTACAGCTTTGTAGGGAAACATCTCTTTCAGCTCCTACTTAGAGCCAGGGGAGGATTACCCAATAGGTAAGGTAAGCATGGGCTTACCTGTGCTTACTTGCTAATAATCTGCAGTGAACAATTTTACATTTCTTCACATCAGAGATTCTGCTTCTAGGTATAGCTGACATCTCTCTCCCCTAATCCCACAAAGCCTCTTTTCAAATGTATAATCCATGACAGGGATGGAGTACCCTATAAGCAAGGTAAGCATGAGCTCACGTGTACTTACTGATCGGTAGTGAACAATTTCACACGGGTTTCCTTTGTGGAGAAACTCGTGCAACTGTTCACAGATTAGTTAACTCAGGCAATCTGCCTGTATACAGCCCTCTCTTAGTTCAATCTTATTTTCTTAACAATGAGAACCTGTTAACCCAGATATTCTGGACCTAGGAAATCAGAAGAGGGCTTGTACAGCAGGAAGTAATAAGATAGTCATAGCAATAGTGATTTTTCTGCAAAGCCTGGTAGAGTGCCCTTGCAGAGAAAATTTGAGCAGTGGAAAGAGCAAAAACCCCAGGAAGATCCCCCATAAAGTGATAGGAGACCTTTTCTGTGAATAGAAGCTAAAAGGGCAGTGTGGAATCATGATGCATTTGGGAACAAAGCTCCATTATATCTAATCCATAATATTCAAAACAAAACCCACCACCGTCGAACCATGGGAGCGTGAGTGCAATGGCTAGGGGCTACGAGCTTCCGGATGCTCCTCCTGGGCGCTGAGCTTCTCCCCGTTTACTCAAGGGCAGGTCCACTGTCACCTTCTGCTTTGACCCCTCTTCCTGCTCTTTACTCTCTTCCCTTTTATACCAAGACAGGGAAATCTGACATCAAGGATTTGATTTTACTGACTAATGGATTACACTGAGAATGCTTCCTCTGCCAGCAATCTGTGTTGTCAAATTTACCCATCCTTGAACTCAGCAAATATTTACTCCCTCCTGTGTAAGCTCTAGAAGCTCTGGTGGCATAGTCCCTAAGGCATTTGACTGCTAACCAGAAGGCTGGTGGTTCAAACCCATCAGCCACTCCTTGGAAGGAAGGTTGGGCAATCTATTTCCATAGTGATACTGCCTTGGAAACTCAAGGAGGGGTCACTATGAGTCGGATCTGACTCGACAGCAGTAAGTTTGGCTTTAGTTTTTTATGTAAGCTCTGGTAATGTAGTACCTAAGGCATTTGGCTGCTAACAATGTTAGCGATTCAAACCCACTAGCCACTCTGTGGAAGGAAGATGGGTCAGAATTGACTCTGGCAGTTGAGTTTTGTTTGTTTGTATGTATGTGTAATACAGTATGCTAGGTACCGTAGAAAATGAAAAAATAAATCTCACAAGGGATTTAGGCTTTAGTAGAGTGGGCTCTCACTGGTTGTCTACCCAACCTCTACTGCCCCTCTGAGGCTTTGGAGTATCACTCCACACAGAGCAGCCATGTGGCCCAGTGGGATCAACCTGTCTTCAGCTCTAGGTCAGGTAATCTCATGGTTGTTGTAACTGCAGAAAATGTAAAGGGCAGGTTGGGGGTTCTGAAATACTCCTCAGCCATTCTAGAATTAAGTTCCAAATACTGTCTTTTTGCTTAATATATTACGAATTAGTAAAATATGGTTCAAATGGTGCTCCTTTAGCAGGTAAGACATGAGTAGGTAACATATATAGATCACTATGCAGACTGCCCAGGTATAGAATATGTCCTCCGAACACTTACTGAATTACACAGGAGATTAATGACAAAGATGCTTCAGGACAACTTGGGAAAACTGTTAATATACATACAAGCTCAACTGACAAAATAACTAACCAGGAACTCAGTCTTTAAGCTTAGATGTGTTTTCAGATAACCTTAGTGGGTTGAGTTCTGTACTGGGAAAGGATCTAAAACACTGTAAGTTAAACCACTGAATCTACTCTAGAAAACAGCTAACATCCTGGAGCAAAGTCACCAAAAATCCAGGCCACCAAGTCTTTCATGCAGTGGAATCAGAACAAATCCTGGTATGCTCATGGGGGTTAAGACCTACATTCTCCAGCTGCTAAGCAGGAAAATGACACTTTAGGACACATGAACATGTTTGGGTAGGTCTCTGAGGTTGGGAAGCTCAGATGGTCAGTACTGGTGCACACAAACTCACACACCCAGCTGAGGACATAAGATAAGTTTATATAGATTCAATAGGGTAGAGCTGCACTGTCCAAATATGGATGGCCCCTAGCCTCCAACACTATAGAGCTCCTAAAATACGGCTAGATTCAACTGAAATGGCTGTAAAATACAAATTGTATCACTAACATGTAAGCTATCCCGATATTTTTTTATACTGATTACATATTGAAATATTTTTTGATAGGCTGTAATAAAGGAAATGTGTTATTAAAGAAATATGACCTGTTTCTTTTACTTTTATTATGCAAGTACTAGCAAATTTAAAATTACATTTTAAAACTTAAAATTAAACTTAAATTGTCACCTTCTCTTCTTTCAGCCTACTTGCTGGGTATAGAATCCATTTCAGTGCCGATCTTGAGATGACTCCATGTTCCAGCAGGGTTCTGGGGCAAGCCTCAACTCTCACACTATGTATTTACAAGATAAATATTTGAAGACAATAATGATTGTACTGTTTAAGACACTTTTAGTTATTAAATCCATTGCAGTGCACATCTGTTAACTCTGTATATCTTCACAGTATTATATTCACCACAACTTGAAAAACTGTAACCATTCGGCACCTAGCTCAACTTACATTTCTATTGGACTAGAGCTACTGGATAAATCCTGGTGTAGACACCTCTATTTAGGCAATGTAAAACAATTTAAATCCTTGGGGAGCAAAATGTTAATGCTAGAGAATGGCATAAACTCCCACCAAGAAAACTGTCACCTCCTCTTCTTTCAGCCTATTTGTTGGACATAGTATCCATTTCAGTGCCAATTTGTGAGATGACTCCATGTTCCAACAGGGTCTGGGGCAAGCCTCCACTCTCACACTAGTCTTCATGACTACTTCTCCCATCCTGACCTGTAAGTGTTCTCCACCCAGCTCTCAAGCTGTCCAACTCTCCTGGCCCCCCTAACCCTAAGCTGGACCCAACATTCTGTTACAACGCCCACTTCTCTCTGCTTCTGTTACACATTCTCTCCGGGGATATTCTTCACTCTCATGACTTCAGCTATCACTTCAATTCAGGTAATTCTGACCTCTACTTATCAACACTTACACCTATCAATTTAAATGTCAGGATATTGTACTCTTTATCAAGCCCTAAAAGAAGAATCTACTTACTTTTAAAAAATAAAGGAAAGGATCGATGTAAGTTCAAACTCACAACTGCCTGCCAAATTCCTAGGATTCTTAGTGACTCCTGGGAAGAAGGAGTCAAGAGTTAGCATACTCTATAAGGCTATGTTTATTTACAAAAGCTGTTAACATAAAACTTGAGTACTGTGGATTTCCTTTTTATTTTCTATGCCTTCCCTCTGAAGAAGGTAATAAATAATGAAATGTCCCAAAAAAGGGACATACGAAAAGAGTAGATTCAAAATAACACAAAATTAGGAAAATTTAGTAATGAATAAAGAAAGAACAGTGTTCTTAATCTGGGACCCATGGGATACAGGTCTGCAGGTCCATGACACCCTGAAAGTTATGTCCAAAGTTCTGGGTGTGTGAGCATATACAATAATTTTGGGAAAAGAGTCCAAAGCGCTTTCATCAGATTTTCAAAGATCTGATTCAAATAAGGACTACTCCTATAATGACATAAAAATGAAGCTCAAATTAAATTATAAAGGTAAAGAAAGGTTATGTATTTACAAGATAAATATTTTAAGACAATAATGATTACATTATTTAAGACACTTTTAGTTATTAAGTCCATTACAGTGCACATCTGTTAACTCTGTATATCTTCACAGTATGATCTTCACCACAACTCGCAAAGTATAACCATTCAGCACTTTCTGCTTCACTCTTGTCAGTTTTTCTGTTACTGTTCTTCCAGCATAATTTTTTGATAGCAAGTGTGTGACTTTGGCTAAAAGAAAAAAAAGAGAAAACATGAAATAACTGCACATTGTGATATAAAATATTTTACTAGGTGTTCACTTAGATATTAATTAGTATGTTAACACAAATGGGAGTCAAATCTGAAAATACCAATTTACAGGTTTCAATACCATCATACATATTTTAACAACTTTATTTTAACCTTAAAAATACCATGTTCTATTTGGTGGTATAGTGGATAAGGCACTTGAAGGTTAGTGGTTCATACCCATCAGCTGCTCTGTGAAAGAAGACAAGGTGATCTACTTCCATGAAGACTTACAGCCTCAGAAACCCAATGGGCATCACTATGAGTTGGAAATGACTCAATGGCAGTGAGTTTTGGAGTTATTTAAATTCAGACTAAGTATCTTTCTTACTTACCCAAAAGAGCAAGAAATAACAAGGAATTTCTGTCAACCTTTATTTTAATTATCAGTGGAATTCATAAGATGTCTATTAACAGTCTTTTAGATAACACTAAATATATGTATTTTTAAATAAGAATTACAGCTTCACAACATGTGTGATACGATTCTATTCTTTTGACATTCCTGTGAGATGGCTGGAACTCACATTTTTACTTCTGGGTAAAGACAGTGAAAAATTCAATGAACTGCCCAAAGTAACACAGTGAAAGAATCTTGGTCTCCAATGTGACTTCGGGCAACATACTCACATTAATCCACTGGCCCAAACATACATAAAAGGCAGATCTAGAATGCTACCAAACACAGATTAAGAAATCACTATGAAAAAACACCATCGTGTAATTTCAATCTTCAAATTAACAAAGATCCTGTTCTGGTTAGCTAGGGCTGCTCTGACAAGAATATACCACAAATGGGATGGCCTTAACAAACAGGAGTTTATTCTTACAATTTGGAGGCTTTAAGTTCAAGTTCAAAGTACCAGGCTCTAGGAGCTATTGTTGTTGTTGTTATTTGCTGTCGAGTGGAGGCAGTATCACTACGGAAGTAGATTGCCCCATCTTCCTTCCAAGGAGTGGCTGGTGGGTTTGAACCGCCAGCCTTCTGGTTAGCAGTCAAGTGCCTTAGGCACTATGCTACCAGAGCTCCCTCTAGGAGCTATATAGCCCCTCAACCTTGGTTCAGCTCTGCCTTCTGCTCCCGGCCCACTAGAGCTAGAGGCTTTTCTTCACTCAGACAGCTGCTGGCTGCTGAGACTGACAAGCCCAAGGTTGACATGTAAAAAGGCACAGTCCAGTTGTTACCAAACCACATGGCAGGCCATTAATTCAAGTCCATTGAAAGTCCCAAGGTCGGCAGAGCATGGTAGGCCGCTGAACAACAACATGGCTACATGCAGGGTTCAAACATGCCATAGGCTAGAGACCATTCCCCAAGGCTTCTCCTTATATGCAGGAAGCAGACCACATCCCTAAGGCAGCTACTCAGCTGCTCACAGTAGATTCCACCAAGGAGTTGATTACCACTCTCATCATGGGGAATACTACATCCAGCTGCCCAGCCACTCAATCAGGCCCAGCCAAGTTGACACAAACTTAACTACCACAGATCCCAAACCAAAAGGGAAGTGACAAACTTTAGTTTTCAGTCAGCAAACACTGAAAACACCAATAGAACACACAAATTATATTTTCAGGTGCTGACAATCCCTGTCACCAGATGCACTCTCAGGATATAAAGGCACAAATGCAGGATAACTGAATTAACAGCACATATTTTAAAATACACACACCAAATTACCGAGCCCCTCCCTGCAAGTGATCACTTAGGGAGGTTACCCTGATTTCAACAAGGATGCTGTGCTTAATGTTTTCTGTAATTCTTCTAAAAGAAACACCTTCTGTTTAGGCAGACTACAATGCTGAATATTCTCAATGGTTCATCTTTATTTGAGGATGAATGTTTTTTCAAAGTAGCCAAGAGTCATTTGGTGCTGAGCTTTGTAAGTAAAATGAATGCCAAGCTTGAAAAATAAAGCTAATGATCAAAATGAGTAAAACTATAAAAGGTATTATATGACTGATTTTCTTTGTCACTGATAAGCTACTTCTGAGTGTCATTCCTAAAGGGAAGTTCCAAAAATATTTCATTGATCTATATTAAAAGCTCCCGTTTTCATTAAAAAAAAAAAAAAAAAAAAAAGATCTGAAGTAGTGACATGACTACAACAACTATAAATAGCATATTGCTTCCCAAGTGAAGGACAATATTTGGCTATTTAAGATTGAAGACAGTGGGATTTTCTTTTTCCTGTAATGTCCTTTAAAGCCAGCATGTTAACAAGGCACATTTAGAACATATCGAGAGTTTGGGAAACCAAGCTAAAAAGCAGTGTTGATTTATGCTCCCTTTGTATCTCATTATTAGCAAAAAAACTTTAATGTGAAAGTTACCTGAGCAATACAAATACTGTAACATGGTATATATCAAGAATTCCACTGTGCAAATCCCAAGTCACCATAAACCGAACCAAAACCAAACCCACAGCCACTGAGTTGATTCTGATTCACAGCAACCCCCACTGGGTTTCCAAGGTAATAAATCTTTACAGAAGTAGACTGTCTTATCTTCATTCTGCAAAGGGGCTGGTGGATGTGAACCACCAACCTTCTGGTTAGCAATCATATGCTTTAGGCATTGTGCCACCAGAGCTCACAGACCCTCTTCAACAAAGAAAAGGAAAACCAATTAACACAGACACAGAAGATAATCCTGGCCCCTTGCACCTTGAAGGGAAGAATATAGAAGTGGACTAAACCCCAACTAGTAAAGGAATTTGCATGAAAATACCAATAAAGGAGACATATGGAGCTTTGGTTTGGCAGCGATCCTGACGGCACAGACAGCTTAAAGATTCCCGAGTGCTGGTAGGACTTAAGAATTAACCTAAAAATCAGCGCTGCTAGCCAGGGACTGCACGGAGGACTGCTTCGGTGGCTGGGGAATAAAGGGAGAAGGTGAAGAGAAAGGCGGGCTGAGCTGTGGACTTTTGCCGGTCCGGAAGGTGCCGCCATTTTGAAGACCTGTGGACTTTTGCCAGTACAGAAGGCACCGCCATTTTGAAGGCCTAAAAGAGGCTTGACTATTTTGGATATTTAAAGAGACAGCACTGTCACAGATTCCTGGGGCTTAAGAACATGTTCTGCTTTCCAGCAACCCCAAG